CTGCTACAAGATGGCAGCTCCCGCGAGGCTTCGACTTCCGGTCGATGGATTACCCCCTTGGTTTCGAAAATGAGACCATCTTTAAATTTGTTAAAGCTACACTGTGTGATTTTTACCCCCATCTAGTGGTGAAAAGGTATATGACCATCCAGGGAATATTAGTTTCTGTTCCTCTCAATTCCGATTTCGTTTGAACTCCTACGGTGGCCAATGTAGTCCAAGATTAACATGGCTTCCAGTTCGACCTCGTCCATGAGTGTTAACTCAAACGTAAACGCGTAAGGCGAAGTTTGAATTAACGGGTATGTCCCTCTTTGGCTAAAGAGGAGCTGTTCAATATGTCCCGCCCTGTCTTCCTGTACCAGTGGAAATTATGTCAACACATTAAATAACGCTGCACTTTTCAAGGCCTGAGCCTTTAAACTCGTGGCTTGTGTATATCAACCTTTAAACTGGTGGCTTGTGTATATCAACCTGATGAGCAAAAGAACTTCCTTCACTGGCAACCCTGACAACCCACAATGCCGTTTCTCACACGCCTCAGTATAACATCGCTGCCATTCACACAGCTCTGCAGACACGCTGTGGTTTCTTGGTGGGAAAGCAAAACACTTTGGTTTGGCACATCAATTTTTTTTTAGGTCACATCAATAAGTGCATCTATGCCAGTAACAATGTTTTCCATACTGATGTAGATCAAAGTGTGATTATAAGTGTGGAAAATGAGCGCCAGGAAAATCTCATAATGGTAAGTATGGTCTGACATTTAATAAGTCGAGATACAAAAGACTACACTGCCCACACGCCTTTCGATTTGTTTGGCCATGGTTGAGAGGTTAAATCAATGTTTTATGAGGGACTAATGTTAGCCTCCATTAGAATGAGACAGCTTGATTTATTTTCAGAGCGAGTGTGGTCATAGATTGTGCTAGTGTCCATTATAGTTTGAAGCTTTCCATTAAGGATAAAGGTTATGCACTTAGCTCTCACTTATTTCACTGTTGAGGTTTGTTGTTGTCAGATGGATAAAATATGTGGTGTTTACTATGTAACTATGCATGATATTTATTAATGGAGTACAAAAGCTAAGCTAATCTCATATGCTAAGTGTTTTTTTCTTTCATTCAGAATCTTTACACTAATGGTAGTGTGCTGTTATGTATTTGTTTGTCTGTTACAATGGAATGAATGGCACCCTAAAAACCCATAGAGGCTACAGCACCCCCTGCAGGCTGCAATGGTCCTGCACTGCATGCTTCATAAGGTAAAACAATACACTTTTATTATTGCTCATACTTAAAAAAACAAAACAAAACACTGGTAATGAATTAGATGTCTGAAATCAGTTTCACTTGCTTAATAGTGGGCTTTTGGTGCCTGTATCTTCAAATGAGAACAGTTTGGTGCCTCCTCGTCTTCCTATAATGAAAACAGAAACATCGTCATAATGACGGTAATGGTTGTATTTTTTTAAACCTCGATCTGTCCTCCAGATGGAACGACTCTGATATGAAGACTATCAGTAATATGAGTGTTTATAAATTCCGGACATATCACCCCCTCTCATTCTTGAGGCCTAAATAAACTCAGTCTTTAATATATTTTTGCAAAACAACCAGGGTCAGTGTAGTGTCCTGGATTTACCAGTTGTCGTTTTATTATTTCAAGTGTTGTGTTCACATCAGAATGCCATCTGCTAAATGAGCTGTGTATGAAGGATAAGATATGATATTTTCAACAACTTGCTGGGCCTTAATCCAAAACCGCTCTTTTAGATTGAAATGCATTCAAAAAGTTTGTAAGTATATAAAATGTCTTTAGAACAATAATTAAATAATGTAATGTACTGCCTGGTAAATATTTACATAATTATTTTTTATTTATTTTTTTTTACTTCTACTGGGAAAAAAACAACAACAAATTAACTTAATAACATTGCAGTCGTCATTTCCATGGGTAAAATAATATTTAAAGGCTTAGCTTTGCAGACGTTTCTGGCTGTCCTGGATCATGTATATGCTTCCATCTAGTGGTTGAAGGTGTATAAAGGTTAGCTTGAATCATAAAACGCCTCAAACCTGTATGTTGACCCACAAATAAAATTCTGTCATATAGTCAACCTCATGTCGTTCCAAATGATACATACTCACACACACACACATATATATTAGGCATGTTATAATAATATTAGGTTAAGCCTCTGATTATCTTTATCAACTAGTTCAGGCATGCCACCAAACTACAAATTTACAGAACACAAGTGTCAGGGGGAACGGCTGAAACTCTGGTTGAACAACTTTTCTGCGTTTCGGCATTTAGGTAAGGATCGATTCTACTTGTTTAAAACAGGATTGTTAAGCATGTATCAGAATATTTGGAAACTGTTATTTGATCTGTTATCTGACATCTGAATATCTACATTCAAGATTTAGTCAGTTGAAACAGTTTTGAAGTTCATTGCACTAATGTTGTGTCTCTGGAAAACAGTGATCTGTGAGTGAAAGCCGACTGTGTTGTCGGGGTAAAAACTTGTAAGCGTACTATTTTAATACCGCTTGGGACTAAATTGGCCCACTTTTAGTACATAAAAGTATATGTTTAAGTGTACTATAAGTGTAACAGTAAGTGCACAACTAGTTCATAATTATGTATCTCGTGTAGCCTACTGCAAGTGAATTTATGGGTATACTAGTAGTTTACTTTTTTACTTTAATATTTATACAAGTATACTTTGAATACTTAATTATACTTTTAAGTATTTCTAGATCAAAAGATTGAGTGCAAGAACAGGTCAAATATACTTGCTTTTCTCTCAGTATAAGTCAAGTACACTTAAGTGTAATTTGAAGTGTATTTCTGAGAAGTACATATAGTATACTTCTGAGAAGTACATGAAAAATAAACTGAAAGTATACTTTCTTATTTTTAGTTTAAAAGAAGTATACTAATTTGCACACTTGAATAAACTACTTTTTCGTAAGCAATTGTCAGCTATAATGTCCGTTCTGCGCCTGCGTGTAATGACCTAATATTAGTATCTGCAGCCGGCAGCGTCGGTTTATAGATATATATTAGTCTATATTCGTCATTCAAAAAGGAAAACCGACGCTGCCGGCTGCAGATACACACACTGTAAACGCGTGCTTGATTTTGAATATCATTCCTTCTAAACGCTTTCTTAGTTCCACTCCGCTCATGAAATATTCGCCAAGGAACACTCAGGTAACATGACGTAACATAAGAACATCCTTATATTTTTACCGTTTTGATTTTTTGCTTGCTTTTTTGCTTTTATTCTCGTGCACTGACTCTATCAGCTGAACAGCCAATCAGAGTTATCGGATTGCGTATGCGTTGAGTGTTGGGAGCCGCACGCGCTAAAGTGCTTTCGCATATGCTGCGTTTGCAGTGCGTGAGCTGTACCACAAACACTCGCTATTTTTATTTCAAAATCAGAAGTTATGCAGCAATGGTGTGACCAGTGACCAACAGTCCCAGTCCTGTTTTCACGTCCTTCCTGGCCGTTTTTTTATAAAGTGATGTCCTGGTTTTCAAAAAAATAAAAAATAAATAAAAAAAACGCTGGAAAAGATCAGCTTTACAGCTAAATATAGGAGATGAGCAAACAAGGAGGATGAGGAAGAAAAACAGGATAAAGAGGAAGGAAACTAGTTCGTTTTTGTACGTTTGTGAGAGGTATTTTTGTTCAATTTGAAGGTATTTCTTTTAGTTAATTAATATTATATATTTATTTTTCTAATACAGAAGAGACATTATTTTTTAATCATTATTTCATTCATTATTTTTTAAACCATCTGAATTTGTGTCTTAATACAACAATTTTCTATCCACAGAGGGGGCATAGCCTATTTTAATTGTATTGAAATTAATAAGGCATCTTTGAGTAAACTTCGAGTATCATTTGTTTTCTAGGCCATGTGTCCTGGTTTTTGGTAATCAAAATATGTTCACCATGCAGCAACTTTTATTAAAACAAAAGTTTTGTCATGGATTCTCTTTAACAAACTTGAATGGACGCATGCTCGTTTAAACACGATTGCATACAATTCCATGCATTACTTATATATTAAGATGTCTTAAAGTAAAAATATGAAACAATTAAATACCTGTATGGAGAGATTATTACATTTTATTGAATTAAATGCATTTATGGTGAAACTACTACATTTCGAGGTCAATCTGAGTTCATTTTGACCACGAACCGTGCGCTGTCACTTTATTTCTGCGTTTGCAGCACAGCAGAAATAGACTCGGTACGGAAACGATCTCTGCACTGCTGTATACGCACCGCAACTGGAACGGATCGACGGACTGCATCCGCGTGCAGTGTGAAAGCTCTAACCTGTTAACATGGGTACGGAAAAAAATACGGACCGCATACGCACTGCAAACGGAGTATGTGTGAAACGGGCGTGAAACGGGCGTCAGTCGGCCGACACTCAAAAACGGCTTGGTGTGTTCCGGGTTTTATATTAATAATGAGGTTATTATTCAATAATTCCATTCCATATGATTTTTTATGCTCATACTGATAGTTGGGTAAGGGAAAGAAAGGGAAAAGTAAGAGAAAACTCTCTGAAAAAATAAAAACACTTGACGCTGCATCTTGAGGAAGAACAGCCGGAGTTATTTTTCTCTGTTTATGTCATGCAGCGGACCAACATATTCCGAATATAAACAACACATAGGCCTATTGTACCGTAGTGATTCAGAGTAAGACAAAAACACGTTTTGGAAAATGGATACATGAGGTACCTACTCGCTTATTATGTTCATTTTGAACAAAAAGTCTCCTTAGCTTTAAGCAGTAAGCAATGCGTGAGTGGCTATTCAAACATTAGCCTAGAACAAATAAAATAATGTAACGTTTACAGGCTGCTCGTTTACAGAAAACAGCACACAATAATTGTGTCAGCTAATTTTTTGGGGAAATTGCACATGACATTCTCTGGCAAAACAAACATCTGGATCTGTCATGAGATACAGAGAACAACAATTTCAAAGAATCGCACGTCACAACACACGGACTCAATATTGTTCTTAAATACCCCTGCAGTTAAGCAACCGCTGCAGTCAACAGAGAGACTCTAGAGGTGCTAAACGAGAGCAATGTATGCAAACAGAGAGGGAATGCACAACAATCTGATCGACGAGCCTGACAATGACTACAGCAGTCCAGAGGTGCGATATTCAGGTGAGAATCATAATCAATCAGTCGTGATGTTTGAGGCATGTGTTTTTCCAAGAAAGTTTGTAAAACGTTTGGCACTGGCATTTGGAATTTTGAAACCTTGATTAAAACATTTCAACTCTAGATTTTACATTTATGTGGCAAAGCTTTATAGTTAGGCCAGGGTAAGGAGATTCAAATCACAAAAGCTTTATGAGCAATATTAATAGAGATGCATGTCTACGGGGATGCATGTCTAATAGAGATGTTAGTCTATCTATGCAATAGACTGTGTCCTTTGAGATTTTTAAAGACTATTTCTCAGATTTAATTACACACTGTCAGACCTCAGATTTTATTCAGATTTTATTTTATATGTGTGTTAATTACAATCTAGACCTCAGATTTTATTCTCCATGATTAATTCAATAACTTATCCAGGTTGCCAATTTCACGTGGAGCCCTCGGCTAAACTTTGTGAAAAACATTTGAATGTTTTTTGATGATAAAGTGATAGCCATTTGTTCAATGTTGTATTGATGTTACTCAATCTTACCACTGCATTTAATTGATGATAATATTCTTCTTTGACATGTATATTTAATTGGTATCAAGGAATACTGCCTTACGATGTCTTAGTTCATGTCTTAAAGACAGGTATATTTCAGTATAAGTTTTCCTCATACTCAACTCTTATTATTGGAGTACCTCAGGGCTCTATTCTGGGCCTGCTTCTTTTTAACTTGTATATGCTTCTTGCATGGGAATATTATTAGGAGGCACTCTGTTTCTTTTAATTTTTAATCTGATGGTACTCAGCTTTATTTGCTGTTGAAAGCTGCCAACTCCATTCAACATTTGCTGGACTGTCTCGAGGATATTGTTTGTCAAATAACTTTCTCCAACTCAATGAAGACAACGCTGAAATAATTATCTTTGGTCTCCTGATATTGAGAGGTGATCTTATTAATGAGTTTGGTAATCAACCTTGACACCAAGTTGGTGTCATCCTGGACTCAGAATTGTGCATAATAGATTTTAAGAAGGTTATTTATGCTTTTATTACATCACGTTTAGACTATTGTAATGAGTATTTGGGTCTCCCTCATTCATCCCTTGCTCACCTCCAGATGGTTCAAAACCACTATTACATTGACCAATATGTGTTTCTCAACAGATGATTCTATTACTTTTGACACTTTCCTGAATATGAACATTTGTTACCTTTTTGGGCAATTATTCATTCTCGGTTGCTCCGTAATTGTCCAGTTGTTTTAAATGTTTATCAGTTTATGCTATAAAAAATTCCTGCTTGACAAACACACAACGTTATTTGATGAAGTACTCATCAATACTCTCACAGTTTGAGATAACCTGGCAGTGGAAAATACTGTAAATCATTCACTGAAATGGGTAACATGTAATCCAAAAAAAGTTTTCAAAATCTTTTATTTCTTGCAAAATAAATGTCATGTAAAAATGCTCAATTTGTTTAACAAAATTTGCACAAAAGTGCATTGTTAGACTTGGCCGTTTTTACACAATTGTTATATTGTAAATCGTTGTTTTATTTGTTTGTTCACAGTTTTACCGAATGCTGCTGGTAAAAGAGGAAAGCAATTTTGCCAAGAACCCTTCAAAGTGGCAACAGCGTGCCTGACTTCCTTCTGCCTCATCTTACTCATGATCCTGGTGGTCACAAGTATTCACAGTGGTACTTCTTCTTTCTCACATAAATGACTTGCGCAATTCGTGTGATTGTGTTTATTAACAAGTAGGGCTGAGCATTAGGACAAAAGTAATGGGAAACATTCTAAACCAACAATGACTTTAATGACATTGCATTCTAAATACATAGACATTAAAGGAGTAGTTCACTTTTAAAATAAACTTTTGCTGATAATTGACTCACCCCCATGTCATCCAAGATGTCCATGTCTTTCTCTCTTCAGTCGAAAAGAAATTAAGGTTTTTGATGAAAACATTCCAGGATTTTTCTCCATATAATGAACTTCACTGGGAACCAAACGGTTCAAGGTCCAAAAGACAGTTTCAGTGCAAACTGTAAACTGTTCAAAGGGCTTTAAACGTTTCCAGACGATGAATAAGGCGAAATTATTTCAAATCTTATCAGGCGAAACGATCACTCATTTAAAAAAAAAAAAATTAACAAAGTTTAAGTTTTATAAGCCCAAATGCTCGCCTTGCTCTGTTTTGTGACGCGCGTTCGTGAATCTCCTGTTTGAACTCGTTTATCAAAATGAACAAATCTTTTCCCGAGCCAACTCGTTCATTTCGTTCGTTGAATGAACCAAATGACATGAAAAAGATTTGTTCATTTTGATAAATGAGTTCGAACAGGAGAGTCACACAGAACGGAGAAAGAAGACCATTTGAGCTTATAAAACTTTAACTTTGTTATTTTTTTAAATGAGCGATCGTTTCGCTTGATAAGACCCTTATTCATCGTCTGGAATCGTTTAAAGCCCTTTGAACAGTTTACAGTTTGCACTGAAACTGTCTTTTAGACCTTGAACCGTTTGGTTCCCATTGAAGTCCATTATATGGAGAAAAAAAACCTTAATTTCTTTTCGACTGCAGAAAGAATGACATGGATATATTGGCTGGCATGGGGGTGAGTAAATTATCAGCATAAGTTTTTAGCATAAAGTGAACTACTCCTTTAAGAGGTGTGTGCCACAGTGTATTTGCAGATTCAGTTTGATTTTAATTCACAAGTTCTTAATTTGATTGAGTTCTATTTTCGATTCCATTTTGTTCGATATTTCTAACTATTAAACAGTTCAATTGCTATTTATCTTCCAGATAACACATAATAATAAAACAAAAACATGCATTTCTTGTGTAAAACAGTCAAGTTATAATAAAAGTACAACTCATAAACACATCAGTTTCATTGTAAACTTCATCTTTCTATCTTTATTTCTCAAAATATTTTTATCGACAACTCACATATGCTTTTATTTCTTCTGTCTTAGGTAATAAGGGCCGTTCCTCTGATCAGGATTCCCCCTCCAGTGCTTCTGAAACACACATGCAGACGGGCTGCGCTAATGTAACGGCTCTGACTGAAGAACTGCTGACTGTGAAGAAAGAGAAGAGGGAACTTGAGAGAGAGCGGTCGCAGTTGAAGGACAAAATCACTGAGCTTGGTTCGTGAGGTGCAAGTGCATTTGTGTTTTTAACAAGCAATCTCTTGCATTTCATAACGTCTAAAAATGTTGGGTCTTTTTAGAGGCAACCACTGCACCATGCACCTCTCCAGCACCAACGAAGAGTCCCTGCCCTGAAGACTGGAAGCACTTTAACGGGAGCTGTTACTTCATCTCGGTGACTAGCAGGAGTTGGTCAGACAGTCAGAAGTACTGCAAGCGGAACGGAGGACACCTGGCCATCATCCACACGCCTGAGGAACAGGTGAGGACAGACGAGAGCTGTGCAGATGTATTCGCAGAACATCTAAGGACCTCAAGTAACACTGACAGTCCACATCTAAATGTGTGTGTGTAAAAAAAGAGAACAGAAACTGCTAAATATGCAATAGAGGAAGGGATCTTAGCTGAAACATGTGAGGCTTTCAAATTGATTACTAAGGTTTTTCCCCCCATTGATTTGAATGATATTTGACTTATTGTCCAGATAAAGACATTCATATGTTTTGTTGCGTACTACTTTTATCAGATACATAATTTTTGGTCACTTGTTAATGTGGATGTTCCATGGTCAAACCATATTACATTAACCAATATGCGTTTGTCAACAGATTATTCTAAAGGATTACTTTTACACTTTTCTGAATATGAACATTTGTTACCTTCTTATCTTAGCTGAAACGTGTGAGGCTTTAAAATTGATTAGTACGTTTTTCCCCCCATTGATTTTAATGATATTTGACTTATTGTCCGGATAAAGACGTTCATATGGAACCTGCTGCCCCGTGGATACTGGAACGCTTACTGGTTTGGCATAAGTGATGAAAAAGTCGAAGACGACTGGTACTGGGTGGACGGAACCAAACTGGTTGGAGGGTAAGAATGTCAAATTTCTCACACTAGAAGTCCAAGCTTCAGTACTAGATGACACATCTCACATGGAGTTCAAACTACTGAATCATCTCATTCTTCCTGAAAATTATTAGAGGTCTTGCATTCCCTCATTTTTTTTTATTCATATATCCTCAATATTTAAGGATAATCTGACTTTTATTAATGTTAGTGACTCCTTGGGAATCAGGAATTGGTATTTTACCTTTTAAATATATACTGTAATTATTAAAGGGAAAATTACAGGACTTTTATTTTGTGCTCATATTATTTTATTTTATTTATGCAAAAATAAAAATTCTTATTACAGCCTGATTAATTATAGAAGTGTATTATTAAATTAATAAGGATATAAAATGGTCATATAGACATACAATTACAACTGTTTTGGGTGCTACAGAATATAGATATTAACGTTACATGTGGACTTACTGTACAGAGAAAATAAAAAAAAAAAGCCAAATGCAATGTCCCTTTGAAAAAGTTGAGAAAAACCTTATTAAACATATTTTAGCACCACTTTAATTTACTGTTGTCATTTTTTATTATTATTATTATTATGCTGTTTCCATAAGGAAACCAGGATGTCTGACTGGAACTAACCCATTGATTTTCCTCCATAGTTTCTGGGAAGATGGCGAGCCCAACAACCATATCAATGAAGACTGTGGCTACATGATAAAGACAGATGTTTTAACCCGTGTGGCTACAAAGAGTTGGTATGATGCGCCGTGCTACATGTCCTTGCCCTGGATCTGTGAGAAGACGACTGAGTCCACTTGATCATTGCTCCCACCAATCCAAACAGACCATTAGCAATACAATCTGTAATGCAATTACCATTGTGTTTAGCAGGCCTGGTCTCAGGGTTTTAAATGTTTGAAAAAAGAAAAGAAAGACTGCAGTAAGGAGTAAAAAAAAAAGCAACTAACTGTCTATTTTATCCTAACATTATATGTGCGTTTAGTTTGATCTAACTTTAGTTATGCTTTTTACCAAGGGATGATTTTTGTAAAGTAGTTGAATTTAATATAAAGATCAATTGATTTATCAGTTTTCAATGGAAAACTTATTGTCTTTTCTTGAACAACTAAACGTCTTTGAATGACTTATGCTGTGTTTGCAGTTCTGGGGTAACTATTATAACTATATAACCTTTAAGGAAATACCTGTTTTGTTTTTTATTAAAACTTTGGTTCGGCAGTTCCACTTACACTCAGTAGGGTGCAGCGTTGAGTCAAAGTTTTGAACATCAGTTTAGCGTGCACCAACCCTGGTTTTAAGCACTCTGAATAATAAAAAAAAATAATTGAATGCACCGCGAGCCATATTATCCCTTACATACATTATCAACAATATAAACTAACTTCACAACTTTTACTTGCACTGATATAGGAACGTTTTTTTTTTAGTTGTCCTCTTTCAACTCTTTTCTTGATGTGTAAATGCATGTGTAATAGTTTCAGAACATGTGATTGGCTGTCCACTACTGATGTCACACTTTCTTGTGCATGCTCCATAGTTATTCCTAAACTTAGGATCAAAGCCTGAGTTGTCAGAAAGTTGATAATCCTGATCGGATTGGTTTGGTTTTGTCAACTCAAAACTAGTCTTCTAACCCTGAGTTTGTTCAACTTCCATCAACTTGATTTAGTTTTCTTTTTCTCTTCATATTTGATTTGTGGATTTTGCAACGTAAATGATGACGAACTGATCTCATCCTAATGTTAAAAATAATCATAATAACCTTTAAAAGCCATGCCGATGCCTGTGTTGCTTTTTCCCAAACTATGGGCATCACTCAAGATTTAGAGAACCCATTCAAACAAGGTAATTTAGACCATTTAAACCAGACTAGAATGTGATCGACTGAACCCAACTCAAAAGTCAAAGTCTTTGGCAGGCACAAATAATCTTTCGATCGTCTTTCTCTCTTTTTTTTTTTGCATATAAAACAAGTGCTCAGTTGCCCTGTCTAGTTTGCGTTTACGTAAGATGTGCATGCATGGATGCATTTTGGGTCATGTACTTTCACGTCCCATCCGACTGTTTTTTATGACGGAGACATAACTGATTGCCAAGGTTTCTATAGCACAGTGAGGCCTACTATATTTGACCTATGTCAGCATAATCTTAATCATAGTCCATAAACAGGTTGGGTCAGACTGATAGAGAGCAGTACGTGAGCTACATGCATTGTGTTTTCAGATCATCATTTAAGCAATGTTCTCACCAAAACACATTTGTTAAAGGGATAGTTCGCCAAAAAATTAAATTCTGTCATCATTTGCTCACCCTCAAGTTTTTTCAAACTTGAATGAATTTTAGTTCTTCTGCTGAACACAAATAAAATAATTTGAAGAATGTTGGGAACCGAACAGTTGATGGACCCCATTGACTTCCATAGTTTGTTTTTTTTAATATTATTGAAGTCAATGGGGTCCATCAACTGTTTGGTTACCAACGTTCTTCAAATTATTTTATTTGTGTTCAGCAACCGAACAGTTGATGGTCCCCATTGACTTCCATAGTTTGTTTTTTAATATTATGGAAGTCAATGGGGTCCATCAACTGTTTGGTTACCAACATTCTTCAAATTATTTTATTTGTGTTCAGCAGAAGAAAGAAACCATTGCAGGTTTGAAACAACTCGAGGCTGAGTAAAATGTCTATTAGTTTAGGTCACTTTTACAATTTTTTAACTTTCATATAAAATTAATCTATTTTGCACATAAGCCCCCTTTTTTTTTTCATAAGCCCACCAGGACAAGCAGCATTGCTTTGAATGTCTGGAGGAGCAAACCTCCTTCTTAGCACAAGATAAATAAAATAAATAAATAAATGTAAGCTATAGTAAATAAAACTAAAGCATATATAAAAAATTAAAAAACACACACAAAAAAAAATCATATACAAATATATGAAAACTGAAACTGAATAAAATAAATAAATACAGAAAATAAATAAGAAATGAAAATGTAATACAAATCAGGATTAAATTTAATTTAAATAAATTATATTTCTTTTATCAGGGCATTTATTTTCCCTTTTGCTTTATCTAGGTCATTTATTTTACACTGATGCTGCATTAGCTTGTTTTCTTATACTGTGTGTGTGTGTGTCTGCACATTTTCATCACAATCACATAAGCGTTAGTATGCGTTTCCACTGAAATGCTTACAAATTGCTTGCAATAACAACAGCATATCCATCTTGATGAAAAATAATCTGATTTATTTCATTTATATAAAAAAACTCAAACAACAAGGGTCCTTTTAACAAAGTGGTCATTCATAATACAATGAAACAAAACAGCACAGTCTTATTAATATATACTAATACATGCTTTTCTTAAATACTAAGTATCACACATCAAGTATGATTTCAAAATCTCTCTTTAAAGAGGGGAAAAAAAACCTCTTTGGCCACAGCCTCTTTTTTTTTTTTTTTTTTTTCTAAATTGACAATTCATCCATTTTCTCCGACCTCTGAAATGTCTCATATCTCACCAGCTGCATTTCCTTTACTTTTCAGTATTTCACTCCTTTGCAATACATAGACTTCTGCAACCTTCAATCCAGTTCACATGCATCTAATCACCTCTCGCCCCTCCAGGGCTTCACACTCTTCGTGCCTGAGAGCTTTTGCTGAAAAACACCCACTTCAGCAGCACCACAGTAATAACTTACTCTTATACAAAGGAATCACCTGTTTGGCATCTTAAATTCCGGCCACATGCAGTTTAAGTGTTCCCATGACAACAATACTCGAAGAATATTGGGAAATGCCGTCGTTGGTCCCTAGTTCGATAGGGAATGCGAGCATTCACAACTTTGGCCTTTCTTGAAGACCTTTGTTATTTCTTCAAGGCAACCAACTCACTTTCCAGACTTGTACGCAGCCATGTTCAGTGGCTCCTTGCTCGGGACGCACCAGTCATCAGCTTCCTGGTTGAATTTGTAATGCCGCAAGGCAGTCTTATTAAACACCGGAAGCTTCTCTACTGAATCTGTGGACAGGGCCTGTGGGCAGAAGACCGTCATTGTGGATTAATGATTTGAAGAGTGTAATGTAATGTCCAAAGTTAAGAGGATGTTTTGCATAGGTACAAGCTCAACAAATAAGGTCAGTGTAAGCAACTCTCATCTCACTGATTGTTTAAAATTTTACCTAAAATGCAGATTCTTTCATTGTTTACTTATTGTACCAAACCATAGAACACAAAAGGTTCATTTTTATGGTAAACAACTTTTGTGTAAAAAAAGTCATACAAATTCCAAAATAGTATTTTCGTAAAGCAATTCCATAGAAGAACCATTGTTGGTTCCCCAAAGACCCTTTCAGTGATGATTTTGTTTTCTTAAAACCCATTTTAAGAACTTTTAAAAAGTGCATGGGTTTGGAACGGCGTCAGGATGAGTGAATGAACATCATTTCTATATTTATGCAAACTAACCCTTTATTTTATGATCTTACCTTCAGCTGAATGACAGCATCTGTGCCATAGCCCTCCATTGGATAAAGCTGGAGATCACCTTGGAAGTAGCGTGCGTACAGGCGGGAGATGGGAAGGCCATAACCAAAGCCAGCCTGAGGGAATAACAGAGCAGGTTTGAAACATACAGTATGTACATGACTGTCATTACGAAGAGTGTCCTATGCTCTCACCATTGGGGTCCGTTGATGGTCACCAAGAGTAGGTCTGGGCGCCGTCGAATACATGTAGCTAAAAAGTCTATCAATCTTCTTGAAAGGAACGCCACCACCCCTGTCACTGATCTGGAACATGAAAAAGTGAATGTTTAGAGAACAATAATGTGGTTTTTGAGCGGCATTACATCAGATGACAAATATGTTTGGGTTGCGTCAAGATGTCAGCTAAGTAGCATGGATATCGCATTTTGTTCCTCTCTTTAGTCACCAAGCAGGGCAAAGGTTGACGGTATCGTTAATACCAGTCAAATCTGGTTCATTTGGAAGTTGATCAAGGCTGGTTAGAATATTAATCTTTAAGAGAGTTTATATAACGTTATTATCAGTTATCGCTGGATCTAGGGCAGGTTGAGATGAATGATTCAAACAAGGCAGTGGCGGTGTGACCTCACACAAGGTAATAGGTCGAGATAAAAATTATTCTCTCTGCCAAATTTCTCTTAAAGGCGTAGTTCACTTTTAAAAACACTTTTGCTGATAATTTACTCACCCCCATGTCATCTAAGATGCTCGATTGTGAAAAGAAAGTAAGGTTTTTGATGAAAACATTCCAGGATTTTCTCCATATAATGGATTTCAGGTCCAAATGAGAGTTTCAGTGCAGCTTCAAAGGGCTTTAAACGGCATCAGACGATGAATAAGGGTCCCTTCAGTGTCATGACTCGAAAAAAGATTCGTTCATTTTGATGAACGAGTTCGAACAGGAGAATCACGAACGCTCATAACAGAACAGCAAGGCGAGCATTTGGGCTTATAAAACTTTTAAATGGCCGATCGTTTGATGTCGATGATGTTGTTTAAAGCCCTTTGAAGCTGCACTGAAACTTTCATTTGGACCTTGAACCGTTTGGTTCCCATTGAAGTCCATTATATGGAGAAAATCCTGGAACGTTTTCATCAAAAACCTTCATTTCTTTCGACTAAAGAAAGAAAGACATGGACATCTTGGATGACATGGGGGCGAGTAAATGATCAGCAAAAGTTTTTGTTTAAAAGTGAACTACCCCTTTAAGACTTAAGAACTTTCATTTACGCACCTTGATTGACAGGTCCTGCCTGCCTAGAGCAACCTTGACTTTGATTGGTGGCAATGTGCTGCTTGTTGTATTCTCAACAGTAGCCCTCATTGCATTCTAGAGAGGGGGAGACATCAAAAATGACACATTTACAATCTATAATTATTTCTTCACTCCATGTGAATCTGAAATAAAGCACCATGTCTACCTTGAAGAGCTCAAAAACCATGTGGTAAAGATGGGAAGGAACGTAGGATATCTCGATTGGTTGCGACTTGTTTTTTGCTGCAACAGAGAACAAATATTATAAGATCCGATGTAGTTTGCGAACGCTAGCTTACTAGATGGAATGTGAGAATGATCTGTTCCTCACCGTTTATCTC